TGATTATTAGTCGGACTAGCCGAAGGCTAGGTCGACTTAAGTTTTACCTTTCAGCCAATCAATCAATCTATCTATCTATCTATGTGTCATGTCGCGTTTGGACCACCGGAAGTTAAGAATTTAATAATTAACTATTGGGCTGGCTGTGTTATTACATGAACGGAAGCTCAAACGTATAGATGTACAAATATATCGTTAGTAAATGTTAGATTCTACTTGCGCTTTTATGTGATTAAAAACTATTCGTTTACAAATGTGGTATCTGTGATCTCATCGGAATGCATCAGTCTAGCTATCAGAAGTACGCGCATGTGCGGATCGCATGAAGCTTCGAGTAGTATGCTTACGGAACTGAATTTTACCGCTAGACAGTCTTGTTTGGGCAAAGATTTCAAATTTGAACAAGAAGAAACTTTATTGATCAATAACAAAAAGGCGACTTTGATTATTTTATAGGCATCTTTTTGAAAGTATTTACTTTCTTGGCCTGAGAGGTCAACAAATTTGAATTAAAAACGCATTAGATATGATATCACTTAGAGACATGTCTCTAAGTATTAATTACATGACCTTTTAGGTCAAAATTTAGATTTCTATCGTTTTGAAGTCGTTGCAGAGAGCAGTCGAAAAGAATATCGTATCGTCCGTGTCGTGTGAATAAACGGTCACGCATTCTTGCTTTCACTATGTATTAGAAGTAAAAAATATAATATTTTACGCCATAATATACATTCAAAAATAGCTAGTCCGACTTCACGCTCCAAGAGCGTCTAGTTGTTTAATCAGACCGCTGTCGCGTAGACGTAAAGAATTTTTCAACAAGGGTGTGGATTGGTGTGGTCTAGTGCACTAATACTAACTACTTATTTATTAGTCTCAAAGCTTGAAAGTTTATGATTGCCAAGCCATTAGCTTTCTCAACTTACTTTTATACTGAAACGCTACAAATCCGTACACATTTTGGACTTACAGTTACGCTTAAATTGTTTTTACGTATTATCATATATATAGATAACGTATTTTAAACTAAAACGCTACAAACACGTACGTCTTGCATGTTTTGCGTCTACGGCTTAAATCCCTTAATGCTTCTCGTGAAGGCTAGGTCGCGGACCGTCGGATGCTACGTTTGTCTTTGCGTGAGTGCTATRATAAAAGGCGCGAAAGTTACGTACGTTGAGGTTTGACTGACTTGGATCCGCGTCGTAAACSGTCAATTACGTCTGTACATCGATTTGCATTGAATTCCACGCATGAAAGATTTTTCGAATGCAACGACAATGGTACGAAAACATTGACGCAAACTTTCACCAACGTTTATCAAAGCCCCYCTGTACGTAAAGAAATACGTAAGTCTTCAATACTTACGCAACATAACAACAATTTGATTCGGAAAGAAAAGATTGTGTCCACTTAGATTAGGTTAGGTTAAAATTGTTTGGTCGAGCGGAAGCCTCCTATGGGAGCACATGTAGTTTTACGAGATGGCATTGAACAGCCATATATCTAGACATACATAACARTACCGAGGTCAAGTTGTAAGTCTGTTAACGATAAATTGTCCAAAGGTGTTCTCGGTTTTGGTGGGGAATTGAATAATCACAATTTAAATTGAGAAAGTGGCACTTAAAAACCAAGGAATATTATCAAAAATTTGTTTATGATAAGGAATGATTCGCTGTGAAGTGTGTCGCGCGTCTGAAAAGTTCGTTATTTTTTTTCGAGTCACTTAGCACAGCRCGCCGGAGCGCACAAGAACACGCTTATTTTTACCTGTTTACTAAATACTTGACGGATATTTGTGATACTTAATAATCTTTCATTTTAATTGAGGGAGTTAAAATACGGCAAATTGAAAGAGTCTATTGACGTGTCGCTTTTTTGTTATTTGAAGTAAGTTAGGGCTTTACATAATACCATGTAAAGCCCTGAGGGCGTTTCGGCTCACCCATTCKCAATRAATGGGAGTTTTTACTTTACTTGTAATTACATTTTTACTCAAACTAATACAGGTGTTTGAAYGACACCATCCATATTTAATTATGTTTCAAGAGTTTTTGTCTACTCTATCGTGAACCTCTAGTTGACTTAGTTCGTGAATAATGTTTGTGACACGGTTCTTGATTTTTAAGTTGAAATGTTAGTCAATCAAAACGAAAATCTCTAACGATCAAAGTTTTTAGCATAGTCTAACTAACTTGTTTATTTAGGCTTATTTCTCATTAAAAAATTCCAGAAATGCCCAGATTATCATAAGGACAATAACCGTTTAACCTCGGAATATCGTTGTTATATGACTTACCTCGTAAAGGCAGCGCACCACTCTCGCCAAGAAGAAACACAACAACAATAACAATAACTGAGACAACTAATTTGGACACCATCTTTCCTTGTTTTKAATCTACAAATAACAATAACATCAGTCAATTTGCATCTTAAAATTACCGCTAAACGTATACTGTTTTCAGATTGTGAGAAATATGAATTCTTGTCGTTTTCTATCGATTCGGGTATTTTTTAAGAGTATAGAGAACAAAATTTTGAAAAGATTTCGCACAACTTTTCGCTTCACATTGACAGCAATGTAGTCTAGATGATATTGAATGGACCATTTAGTCTTTCAGAGGCTAGTTGTGCAAAAAATGTTTTCTCCTGAAAATCATGAAATTAACTAATCAATGACCGAGAATAAGCTATAGAATGTAACACTTTACGCCTGTGAGCACAATTTTCTATAAAAAATCTTAGTTTTTAGAGCAGCAGGGTAATAACTTTAAGAAGACTTGGTTTTTTGTTACCTTGTTTCCAACGGTGTTTCCACGGTTCAAGTTCGCTGCTATTGAAAGCCGTTGGTTGAAATTGTTCAATTTAGGCACACCAACACTGGCTTCCTATTGGATAATTTCCGCTCCAAGGAATTCGCCACTGTGCAAGCCATATTTGGGCGTGACTGATTACTTCCTTTATGAATAATGCATTGCGGGGGTTAAATAATGACGTCGTTAGACTAAAATCAACCAATCAGATGGCGAGGATTGCGACAGTCTTGTTCATTTTCGTAGGCGAGTTAAAGCAATGTTTATTATACGCATTACATCAAGTTATTTAAGGTCGCTTAACGAAGGGCTAAGATATGCCTTTATTAATGTTTAACGAGTGTTTGAGTTTTTTGCGCGGCTCTGTTGATAGCCGTCACGTTTTGTGGGTTATACTGTCATTTTCAAATGAAGAGTGGGTTTCATTTTATTACGAGTAAAATCGTGAAACAACAGCATGCCTTATAATCAAGCAATGGAATAAGACAAATAACTCGGAAACAGCGTCCAATAGTCAAGGCGTAAAGTCAGCCACAGCAAACGTAGCGTAAATCTATGCYCCTTTTTTACATTAGTCTAAAAGAAGAATCTAGAAAGATCCAGAACCAATCGGACCGGAAACGTATTTCACATTCAACCAGAAGAAGACTTAATGACGATCTTTGTCTTTGCCGAAGTCAGATTAATRCATCGATTTCACTAAGTTTAATTAAAAAAAATCTTCACATGTCCATGTGAAGAAGTTGAATAAATTGTGGTTGAATAGTTTAAATTACATATGAATAATCAAMAATTAATGAATAATAAATAATCATTACTAATGGGCGAGGAACGCTAACCCCACACAATCCAAAACCGCACAGACAGTTACTGGCGAGTAGGAATTGCGATAGGTAACCCTGATCTAACGTAACTATTAGCGTGTATTAAACTTGGTTTAACGTGCGGTTGATATATGTCCAGTCCACAATGTATTATGGCAGAAAAATGACAGACTAACGCTGCACTAGTGTAGGTTGTTTCGGTGTTCATAATGAAATCGTTGGAGCAAAATGATGACGCACATACCGCAAAAGAAACAAAAATAAAAAAAAAACTTTCTAACGCTTCGGAAGAGAAGAAGAGGAAAAGGAGCATTGAAAAAAACAATATGGTTTCTGAGCCTCAGTCTTTATAGTTCTGTCTTACATTTTTTCAGGTTTATTTGCTGCACGTTGCACTGAACTCTGTACGATATAAAAACCAGACAGAAGGCACACAAGTGCGATTATCGATTGCTCATGCGCAATGAACTTGATGTAGAACCTCTTTAATAGCTGGACTTCTAGAGAAGTTTACACGTTTCCATGGCGTGACTCARAAAAATAGAAATCATTTAGACTACTAGTAATCACGAACATGCACTAATGTGATACACAATTCGATCGACACACGTWTATTGTGTAGCAATATTCAGGGAGACTATATGTACGTACATTTCGCCAATTTCTCGCTRCTTTTAYGGAGATTTCATTAGCTGTGGCACTAYAACGTTTGAAAAAATACTTTTGTGTTCAGTATGACCCTTTTTCTTTTGGATAACTTGATTTGTTGCTGAATGGATTAATATTGGGTGGATATGCAACGAGAAAAGAAGCCGTCTARTTAGTTATTGTGTTCTACATTTTTCGTGACGTTTTGCCATTGTTTTTATTTCACTTAATAAATGATTGAATTATAGTTAAAAAGAATGTTGGATGAGCAGAACAAYCTAAAATAAATGAATCCGTTCAAGTAAAAAGTGAAAGAAAAAAAGAATAGTTTAATAATATTGAGTAGAACAAGCATCAATAATAGAGTACAATAAATAATGAAATAGTATGAATGGCATTGTGATGATATCAAATTACTTTTCTCCCGGAAGAAACACGCATCCATGCTGGAAATAATAACCCTAGAAATGTCAATTTCCTTTAGCAATGGACATTAAGTGTTCAGAATATGAAACGACTGATATTGGCCCTCAAACCAATCCAAACACTAAAGACAAATAAGATTTTGTTAAAAACGTTAAACATCCTTGTAATGTTGTGTAAATATTGCGACTATATCACAAAAAATCTCTTGTTTTCATAACGTAATGATAACAATCYTTGTATGCATCTTATGAGTTCAATAGACTAATACCTTCTAACGTTTTCTAATATCGATCAAATGTTCTAGAATATAGATCAAACATTCCAAAAGGAAAAAGACGGGACTCGAAGTAGATATTTCCGTGACATCAATACGGGYACACCTGAGGCTAAGAAAAATTTAATTTCCAATCCATGGCTCCCACCTAGTGATTTCCTCTGCCCTTTGCACTGAGTTAGTTTAATCAATACTGGAGTAATTTAAACTCTACAGCTTGCTGGTTGTTAATTTTAATTCGATAATGATTATTTTGAAATATTGTTAATTGGGTTTGGTGGAGAGACGGAGCTTATTGTTAGGAAGTTGGTTTAGGTTAATGTTCTCATTTCATTATAATATTTGCGCTACTGTTATAAGGAAGATATGTATAGTCAGTATATTATAGTATAAGTATGTTTATTTTTCTAATTATGGAAAACAAAGCCAATATTGTTTTAATTATTTTGTTTGAGGTCAAAACCAAGTGTGTCTTACATAATTTGAAAATTGAAATATCTTTTGTTGAAAAACTAATACTAATAAAAAATGACAGACTTGACTTGCAATATTTCTTCATTATTATATAGCAAATAACGTGACATAATAGATTAAAAAATGATTGACAAGTTTAAAAAAAGTTTACATTGAACCTAAGGCCAAAGAGAATTTGGGGTTGTCCGAAAAAAAACTTGTAAAGGAGGTTATTTTTATCTAAAGCGTGAAATACTTGGGAAATGAAACATATTATTTGTCTTCCCATGATCCTTTGTGGTCCTAGCTAATATTAGACTCTTCCGCAGTCCCCTGCTCGGCTTTTGGTCTTCTCGCAGTGCGAGAAGACCAAAAGCCGAGCAGGGGACTGCGGAAGAGTCTAAGCTAATATGAGGTCAAAATAGGTGTAACTCGAGACTAAAACCATTAACGACCTTTATTTATACGACGTCTTATTCCATAGAGACGTCAATTTTTCTGTTCAGTTGTAGATGGTCGCTAACACATTTATCTATTATCTGCTCATTCATTCGTTCATACTTTAATCTTAATCTCACTGTACACGTCCTCTAGTTTCATCTGACTCATGTCTAGATTATTAGTTCATCTCATGGAAAAACTACTGCGTAATACGTTTTTAAGTGTGCCGGAATAACCATTGATTAACATTTCTTCATTTCTTCATTTATCTCAGTCATCTTTTTCAWCCATTCATTCATTCAATCCTATTCCAATCTTTCTCCATATCATGCCAATAATGAATTTATACCGTCCATTCTTTCTTTTATCCAACAACATGTGATCACACGTTCGTTTATGTTTCAATTATTGACAGCGAAAATCYTTACCTCATCGTTTTAAAAAGCTTTAAAGTGTGATTGGATTTTGTTTTCTAATACGATTTTCGTAAACTCGTTCAGCCATTGGTTGAGTTGTAATAAGCTCCACCCACAAGTCTCAGGAAAACCCAAATCGGAATGATGCAACGTTTTCTGCTSTAATTTATAACAGGTTCAAACAAAGGACTAGACAGTTCAGAGTTGACTGCCACTTCCTCAATGACTGACTTCACAGCAGTCGAGTGAATCATTTACATGGTATTTAATGTATGTCCTTGAGCGTCAGTCTTAGATCAGTTATTTTGTCTCTGGCTTCTGTAGATTTATATAAAATTAACAATTTATATATATGATGATGGAGTAAATCGCGTGTTTTGGACGTCTGGATATTTCCGCCAAAGCTAAGACCCCTTTTGTGATGTACTCTCTATCTCATTTATATAAGTTAATGGAAAATCTACGCAAACAACTGCCTGACTCCACTTTGTTATTTATTTCCTTTCAAATCTAATGATAATAAAGTGATTTATTTCTTGCTAGATGGTCTTCGTAGGTTGTATTTTTTTCATAAAGAGTGTATATATTTAATATTGCAAAAGTAAATAATAAACATATCCATTTAAAAACTTTTTAAAGACGCTTTTTTATTATTTCTACTTTGTTGGATAATCTATATTTTCGCATAAAAA